GCTATCTATTTACTTCCCTAAGGCGAATGATGAATAGCCGCAGTGGAATCTAACGCCCAGATCTTTCGACCACTGCATCAACTAACCAATGAAACAAAACCAAAAACTTTAAAAGGCACCTTGCAATAAAATAATATCACAAAACGTAGCGAAATTTCACAAACTAGACCGGTGGTTCACGGAAAGACACCAGAAAGAAACGAATGGCAACCGACTGATCAGTAAAAGCGAAATTAAATATGTGAACATAAAAGATATCCAGCAAAGAAGTAAACAACCAGACTAAAAGCGAGTCGGCTCTAGCTGCTTACCAGCATTGCAGGAGGCAGCAGCGAACTTCGAAATCAGCTGATATCGTTTCTTTTCGTAGCCTTTCGTCGTTATGTCACCTGTAAATCAAAAGACACTACTACGGCAAAGAGTTTGTGACGCTAGCGTACTACCTTCGGACAGTTCGAGATCCAGCTGGGCCAGTTGTTCGCGAACTTCCCAGGGTAACTGCGACACGTCGACATCGGCCATCAAGCAGCGTTGCGACGTGGATGAACGACGCAGCGTTAATGTCGGTTCGTAGAAAAGCTCATGTCAGCGATGGTGGCGTTGAAACATGCGCCCGCGTCGTCTTAGTCTTAGTCGTCGTTGTCGTCAAGCACTGTAAAAGCGAAATGCGCGTCAATCGCACAAAAAACACATCACAATTACTCACAGCATTACGGTAAGCCCATAAGCGTGATAACGTGTGCAATTCATGAATCTGACCGAGCATCGACCGTCGGTAGGCCTTAGCCTATGCGTATTTACAAGAAGTGCAAAGCGAGGGGACCGAAAACAACATGATTTCACTCTGAATCGAATCAAATAACTCCGACAAACAAGGCAGCAGCTTCGATGCCAGAAGAGTCACTCGATCGCTATTGAGAAATCAAAGACAACGAACGATTACGGCTGCTGCCACAGCCGCCGAGAAAGCGAGACGATCCCAACATTACGCAGAATAAATCCAGCAGTCAAATCAATCGATTTCGTTTCGAAGGCAATTGTTTATCTTCATTCACTCAGTTGTCTGTTCATTCATTCGCCAGCCTTCTTCACGCTGACGACGATTATGACCGAACTCGCGACAACAGCCTCGGAACTAGTAATGGTAGGATTGGACTTAGTTTAAAGGGCCTTGAAACATAATCATTAACGAATTTAAACAGGAGACGATCATTCGCGCATTTTCGCGCATGTCTACACACATCTATTGAACGCGGAGCATGGCGAGGGTTACAGTTACCTGAGTTTAAGAATGTCTATTACAAGTTACAGTCGACGCTGCATCTACAACACTGTCTTCGCGAAGAAATATGGCAAGTTACCCGCATAATTTTTCTGGGATCCCTAAATGCCGTGGATAAGGACGGACGGGAGAGGGCCAAATCATGAGACGATCTGCTTAAGATCTGCTCTTCATGCGACTCATTTCGCGGCAAATGATGCAAACAGTTACGAACCCGAATTTATGACGACCGTAATCATCTGCGCTGATACCAATATTATAACCCATATCATCCACGACACTATATCATCGACTGCGCAAGGTCGGCTGGAAAGCTTGCAGTCGCTGGGACATCGGTATTCGTTACACTTTAATGAAACAAGTTGCAGTTACCTCCTCGACTGGAGCATAATTTGCAACTGATTTCCCTTTCGATACTATCAGCGGTACACCATCCACAGCTAGGTAGTCCACTAAATTACATACCTCTGCTTCTTTTCCACATAATGGTACTCATTTATCTACTTAGGAATGGCGACTGTGCGACACGGGTTTGAACCTGCGATCATTAAACCGTGACTTCGGTGTTCTGCAGAATTAGCTACCTCAGTTAAAAGCTGGCGCGTCACCAGACATTCAGGAAAGTACTAGAGTTATTGAACGCTTTAAGCTAAATACCATTACAGCAGATTGTAAAAAAGTCAGCAGTTATCGGTGAATGTGTAGACATGTAAACAGGGAAAGGTCATCGATGTTCGTCGGTTAGTAGTGAGTCAAAGAAGATAAGCTCGCAACAGATGGTTCTTGTCAGCCAAATCTGGCTAACCTCTTTCGTCTGCCAAAGTCTGACAGAGGTTCCAAACAGTTTTCCAGTCACGACGTACGCAGCTGAAAA